ACTGAAATGGTAGTCAAATAACTATTGCTGTTGAATACTAACAATTCAAAACGCCAGCGCCAGAGATAAATCAGTCTCGATTATCTGCCTTAACAGATTCCATTGAACGTAAAAGGAAAAATGCAAATAATATGAATGGATCACTGCAAATCAGCGACCAAACATTTAATAAGATCATCGGTTTCTGTGTTTTAATATTTTTGTATCACTTTATGTACAAAAACAAGTGTCTTTCGCAAGAAAATAATCACGAATAAACTTTGGTACCATCACTATGTCATATCGAAATATACAGTACGAGATTAACTTTTTAGAGGTCTTTATGTATTATATAGTATCTGTTTCCCAGGTATAGGAGATGTCCTTTTTCGAATTACAGTGATAATTGATACTATATAATACATCATCCATGCAGAAAGATTGATTTTGCATTTGTTTCCCACTGAAAACTGTTTATATATGATGCAAGAAAAAAGTCAAGAATTATTTTCTTTGTATATTCTTTAATCGCCAAATAAATATCAAATAAGTTAAAATATAAATAGATTCTTCTGCACAAGTACTGGTGCCGATGTAGAGTCCGTAGGTTTTTCTGAAAAATAGAAATGAAGTATAAAAAAACATTTCCGTACATTCACTATGATCATGAACATTCATAGGGGTACTTAAATTCGTTTCAGAGAAAATAATGTTAATTGCTGAATTGATAAAAGCCATTATCTTCAGCCTAAAAAACGCGACTTTCATGAAGAGTGCAAATTAGCCAAACCAACTTGCAGAGAATGAATTACCATTTACACAAAACGCAGAAATATCACAACTTTATCTGCTACTGTAAATAGTCGATTCTGGATGAGGCAATACAGTTAATGGTGGTATGAACAACAACTTGGCATTCTATACCAAAAGAAGAAAGATTATGTAAACTATGTAATGCTAATGCTGTTGGAGATGAGTTTCACTATCTCTACTGGTGTGAAGCCCTTCTCCAACACCGAAATACCTACCTCTCGATACAAATATGTGATTTCCAAAATTATCCAATGATTAGAAAACTCTTATGGAATAAAACCACGAAGGATTTAAAGAATCTTAAGTCATATCTGAATATATTATATAATTTGTTAAGGTAATATTTATATCATCCTCTCCTGTCACTTGCCATGTATATATTTGTTAAATGATGTAAATAATTCAAATTCTCATGTACCACCATTGGTTGGTTGAGTAATAAAATGTTCTGTCTGTCTGTCTGGCAATGGAGGTACGTGTATGGTCAATTCTGTCTTCACCGATCCCAACTTTAATCAGTGTGCACAACAAGTAGGATGTACTCGGGTTCTTCGCACGGCTACCCACGTGACATCAACACGAGGGATATATGACTTACCTTAGATAAAGTCTAAAGCGTCCAGTCGAGCGAGTCTGGCGAATGTGTTGTAAGTGTTCTGTGACCTGCGTCCTCCAAGGCCTCCACGTCGACCACCTCGTCCAAGCATGTACAGAGGGTACTCGAAATCGGGGAAGTCAGGGAACTCAATCTCATAGCCATAACCATAGCGACCATATGGATATCTGTTCCTGGAACCGACCGTTCTATATGCACTCGTGGCAGCAACAGCGACGACAAGGAGGAGGAAGACGAGTTTCAGTTGCATTGTGGAAGAGGCTGAAATAAAATAAATCCGGGAATGAGTATATGCACTATTACGTATTATATCACCATATGGTTGCCGATATAAATACACGTAAGAAGAAAAAAGATTATCTGAATTGATGATTTGCATATATTGATAAGGGCCAACTATCAACAGTATTGGCTGCTTTCAACATTACTTTTTACCGACAAAAATAAGACACATTGGCTGATAGGTTATTATATTGCCAATCAGCTTCCGATCATCTTGCCAAAGGAACATGCCAAATATATATTGTACATGTGTTACTATATTTCGTCCTGTCAGAATATATTGGACAAAAGTCAACGATTAACTAGGTAACGCCAAAATAGCTACCACGGACAGACACAGTACTCTCTTTACATATGTATCCTCATATGTTAGGTGATGCTGCAAGGGGGTTATGTTACATTGGTTATAGCAGAATTTATTCATTTCTCTTGAAATAATTAAATTGAAGAAAATGACTGCCATATCCAGACTCTTTTATTATTACTGAACTCAAAACTTGTCGCCCTTACTAACTGTTTAGAACTTCATGATTTAAGACACAAGCGATTCTGATTTGTTAAAGTAATCTTTCCATGGCTAAATTGTGTTGCGCACAAATAACACAGTTAATATGACATTATTGGGATCCTTAAAACGTTGGCCACATACTGATAAGATGTTTGGGGTGTCACGTAATTCTGTAATTAAATCTGCCACCTTCTAGATATGTATATCGACTTTACCCGCATGCTTTTATAAAGCTATTCATATTGTACGAAGCATGTGTATAATACAATAATAAAAGCAATCATAGCAATTTAACGTTAATCAATTTGGCAACTGATACACACCTGACTTATGTGGTGCCATTTTCGATAAAAGAATACTTACTTGTAACGGCTTATTCGTCTTTGCTGCACGGGATGTTCAGTGTAGGACCAAAGTGATGATGATGTTTCTCCAGCAATGTGCTAACCTTTATATACTGGTACATATACGTAATGACCACATCTATACATCATACTTGTGAACATATTCTGACACACGTCCAGTAGGGATCACGACACATTACAACAATGAAGGGCGGCTTTATGCAATCGCCCAAGGCGAGATATTGTATATCATGGACCAACAATTTGCAATATATGCATGAAAGAGCCAGTTTGGGATACGCAGTTTGACGTGATATCGTGTTGATCTAAAAGTCTCAGCTGTTGTAATATATTGCTGTTTGTTGTCGTGGAATACAAGGTAACCTGGTGATTAAAACATTCATTTTTACTGCTAATATTGATACACTGTTTCATGTAAGCACTAAAACCGGAGTCTCGTTTATACTTTGCATACTTGTGTTCTTGTCGAAGGAAACAGGTTTTCAGCGAGTCAAGGAAATGACCCTTTGTCATAATCGCTTCCTGCCCTCACTCTACATCAATTTGTCTGTTTTATAAAATTCTTCACCATGTATTTGAATTACCATATTATTTCGAAAGGCTGTGAATTCATAAAACATTTGACGAAGGAAGTGAATGGTAATGCATTGAAGGCTGCTAGATAAAGAAATTAATTGCTAAGTCGAATATGCTAAACTAACGCCATCATGCTAATAAAACACAAATGCAAAGATACTATTTGTCAACCAGGCGTTCGCGTTAAGGTGAGCATATCCTAATCCACCGGTGGCACATGCCACAAACACATGCAAAAGCAAGTAAATTGTTCATCTGAAGGAACACGGGAACATAATTATATAGAACAAATCAAAATAGGGAATTTCATCGGACAATAAATTTTGTCACTGATGGATTAAACTTGGAATTGTTGTCCACATGTTTCCCATAAAACTTTTGAATGCTTTTTTGAGGCACTTAATGTTGTAACCGTAATCAAACGGCTCAAAAAGGTCATATTTTTATGTATTACACTGTTTCGAAGCACCTCATACTTTCTTTGCAGATCAAATACCATTGTGTAGTGTGTTTAATGATGATACATAAGGGCCTTAAAAGGATCAGATGGACCATATTTTTAATATTCTTAATTTTTCAAATACATTTTCTGCCTCCACTTTTTGTGCTCTTTTCACAAGTTATTGTGGTAGGGCTTATTACCACAAGTACAACCAAACATAAGGTGTTTTAGCGCTTACCGTTATACGCATTAAACTGCATCAAACCAGCAAAGTACTTTGTTTTGTACACACATATGGTAAATCACAAAGCTTTAAATTTCTATATATCATAATTATTACCAAGCTTCAGTTGTATAAACATTGATGTTCTTTGTGTGCATATTTCCTCACTAACTTGTTAATAAAAGCGATTAAGACCCTTTCAATAATCATATATACACATCTACTCAAAGTCAACTGTACCATTCCGTCTACATCATGAACATGCGTTTATAATTAAATTTGTGTTCATTGAAATTCCTGCATTCTGATTTTCTGAATTGTCACGTGTTAATGCATTCATTTCCAAATGAATGTAAAAAATTAAGCCACGCCCATCAAAGCGGACTACTTTTATTACCACGGAATGTCGGGGAATCCCAATTACAGTCGAGGGAATTCCCTTTCTGCTCACGTGTATCGTCATGCACAAGGCATTTAGCGAAATTAATGCATATTCATTGTCCAAACAACCCTTGGAGACCGAAGGCCAAGAAGGACTGAAACAGCAAACGTGCAGGCTGGCTCGCCGGGTGTTTTCCCGCTCGCCTCGGTTCCACAACTTTCATGCCTTCTGGTTTCATTTCTAACCAGCATGTTTCCAACTGTGTCTCCCCGTTCTCAGGGAACTAATGTTTGAGTCTGGCGGTAACTGACTATGTCCTTTGAAACAGCCGCCTTCTCCCGGACATATTTGATGCGGCTCGTTACAGTCTGACTGTTACAGTGCTTCTCACCTCTTGTCTTGATTGACAGGTCCTATGAACATTGTTTTGATCTTACTCTCCGTTGATTGGCTACTGACTTTGTAGGCGTGTCAAGTTATGTGCATAAATTAAACAATCACCTGATTCATGTCACGCCACAGTATGTATTCCTACACCTGGAATGTTTATCAATCTCGTCATTTTTGTCTGCATACGTTGTCGAATTTAATAATAAGCATTGACTGTGTATTGTTTTCGGTTCATTGAGGTATGAATCGAAAAACCAACGTGCAAACTGAATGAATCCGTCACCCATCAAGAGTTCATTTGAAAAACAAACACTGGAACACATGACCCCACCCCACACCCCACACCCCACACCCCTTCCAATATCAAATCGGTCCCTTCTGTATAAGATGAGTGTACAGTGTAAATCTGAAGATAAGATAGTTCTCACTTGCACGCTTTTATGATTTATTTCTATAAATTGAATTTCACATTTTTCTTGTTTCAATGCAATTAAGTATGAAACGCCAACGACAGTCAACGTCAAAACATTCGATCTTCGTTGTTGTTTTTCCATTCACGAAGACACATTGGCCAGAGGAAGATACAATCTGAAAAGTGAGTGTGAGCATGCTATATACCAACGATTGCTAGGTGCGACACGTTGATCAATTAAGAATACATTTCTACATCGGAAAAAACCGCGTCATTTATTTGATAAATAAAAACTTAAGATGGCATATGTATTAATTTGTTTGTGACATTGTTTCAATGAACATTGAGGAGCCGCCGTTGGAATGTATGTTCAATTTTCAAAAACATTTCTTGATACCAAAAGTAAGTTATAACTGATCTATTGGTTTATGTACTGATCTTTTTTTTCGCCCATTACTGAAACTGTGCTGGTTCACATGACACCAAACGTATTACAAATGTAAGGTTTTACCATTTTTTAAGATGTAAATATATTCTTCTATCACTTTTCATGAGATCTAACATGTACTCTTATACTACACGCATAATCTTAGATTTCAACAGATGGAATGCTCTTTTTAAAATTTATGGTTTTAGAAACTTACCTGAGTTAAAAGAGTCCCATGTCGAAGGGCATATCTACATCAAAGGCTCTATACATGAATGTAGAGTATGGGTTGAAGGGGTTGAATCTGTTGTTGAAGAGGCCACCTCTGGAAAAACTCTGTCTTGGATTGTACTGGTTGTACAAACTGTATTGGTTGAGCATGTTGAATGGGCTTGCTGCACCACCAGAAGACATGGATGGACTATATTGGGATGTTGGAAACCTTGGGAACGCCATGGTCATGGCGACGTTGACGAGGAGGAGAACTACTTTCAACATCATGCTTGTAAAACAAATGTGACTTGGTTAAAAATAAATATTAACCTGTTACATAAATTAAGGTAATTCAGTTAGGATATCCATGAGTACTTTGTGGTTTAACGCCGCTTTTGACAGTCCTTCACTGTGACACTATCTAACGCGACGATGTTTTTCATCTATACGTGTACTTAATTCTCATTAAAATCAACTGGTATTGAATATCTATTGAGAGAAGGTGTCTTAGCTTCGCTAAGAAAGAGTCTAATTACAACGTCAAGACCAACACTGAAAATGGTAACCAAATCGTTTAGCACTGTACCTTTTTGGACTTTGCGAAAAAAGATATGTCAAAAATTAAATAAGAACCGAACAGAATTTATTTCGTATGATCTGGCCAATATTACAGATAATCAGATAATTTAGTCATTTTGTGACTGACAGAGCGCTTCAATTTTGAAATTTTGAAATTTAAACACTTTTTGCAAGTTAGAGAGCAATGTGGAATATGATGCTGTCATCATTTGTTGACAGAAAAGATACAAACTTGTGCATGTTAGGATATTTATAATAATACAGGGCCAAATATCTTGATTTTAAGTTAGTTAAGTGAGAATAGTACATGGTATTCATCATCTAAGTCTTCTCCACACAAATTGCATAAACTGTCAGTACAATCATGATCACCAGCCATTCTATTCATTTATTTTTCATTTTAAAGTCATTTGAACAACATCTAAATTCTGTAAGAGCTCTTCCTATATTTAGGGGCTTAATCAATGACACATTTTGTTCAGGTTGTAATAAAGATTTGCAGGTACACTATAACTCTGGTCTTGGTGAATTTGATGTACAGTCTGACCATTCTTGAATACACAAAAATCTTGTTCTTCGCTTTCATGTATAACTAAAATCATTACAGTCTCTAACATCTTGCATCAACTATGCATTACTAAATTCACAACTAAAGAACATCTGTCTTTCAAATGTAACCCAATTTTTATACCTAATTCATCATTTTTACAAAAAATATCAGTGCTTTAAATATTGCCTAAAGGCAGTCTTAATAGTTTAATAAAATACTGAATGACACATCACCACGTTCATACATTTTCATTCTTCCCAGTTTACCCACAATAGCAGTATTTGAAGATCTGTATCCTATTTTCAAAGCGGATTTACAATATTTAGTATGTACAATTTCAATGTTTTTGCTTACTTCTGTACACTATAGTTCCGCACCTCATAGCAAAATAGTTTTAAAAAATACAAAGATTTTGAAATATGCATCAACGTTTAAATCTGGATTCTTGAACATAACAAGAATATGTATATTCTACTCTATGAAAACGATAAAGGACTGCCACATAAATACTCACCTAAATCCTAAAAGCAAATGAAGTTTGAGTTCCTTCTCTAAATTCTCGGTGTATATATACCAAGGACACAACTATAAAGGAATACCAAACTATGAAAGGGGGATCACAGTAAATCTTAAAGGAATGCATCCCTCCGTTGTCCGTTGTCACGCCTCGACCGGACATATTTATGTCGTCACCGTTAAAGTGTAATTGCTCTGGGGTCAGCTGGGGTTAAGAACAATGAGGATATAATGCTAAGCGGTGATAAGCAAACAATCAGGTATGTTAATATACTGGTATGCCTGGCATACTTGACAATATGTACAATTAGTGAACCCTTGGAGTGATTTGGAGTGTTTAATCTCCTTTTAAAACGATTCTTCATAGATTGGAGGAAATTTCATTGGGTAAGAAAGTCCAAAGTCAAGCAGGTCGTGACTCCTTTGGTACGGGTATCTCGTTTACGGAAACCTTTTAGGGCCATCTGGTTTTTTTGGTTTTTTTCGATACTATCTGGAAATTTCAACATACTAACTTGAAATTTCAAGAAACTAAGTTGAAATTTCAAGATACAAAAGTTGAAATTTCTAGATACTATCTTGAAATTTCTAGATACTATCTTGAAATTTCTAGATACTATCTTGAAATTTATTGATACAGAAGTTTAAATTTCAAGATATAAAGTTGAAATTTCAAGATACTAAGTTGAAATTTCAAGATAGTATCAACTTCTGTATCTTAAAATTTCAAGATAGTATCTTGAAATTTCAACTTAGTATCTTGAAATGTCAACTTAGTTTCTTGAAATTTCAACTTAGCATCTTGAAATTTTAAGATAGTATCGAAACAAAATTAAATAAACAAATGGCCCTAAAAGGCTTTCGTAGTCGTTGGCGAACCAAGGAACATATTGTGGGATTCATGTCACATTCCGGGGATCGAACCAACGAACAACGGCACGCAGCGAGTACGGGTATATTGCTGACAAACATAAGGCCATATTGAGAGACATATAACACACATTCTTTCGATCGAACCCACGGTCAACAGCTGAGGGACGCCACGATCACGGGTATGGGGCTGACAAACCTAGAAACATAGTCAGTGCGAATATGTGATTCGAACCCATGATAATTTGTTTTTGGTATGCTTATGGAACGTAACGAATTGCGGTGCCTTAGACGACTTGGCAAGCACCGTCTCCGTCGGGCTTTTGACAACTTGGCCACGTCAAACTGCCTAATGTACAAACACACTGATTGATAGCTTCACTCGACTGCGCACGTGCCTGCATTAGTATTGTAGCTTCATAATGCTGTTATTCAGTGATGAATAAGTCAGTGCTTTGGGTTGAAAGATAGTAAAACAGTTACACATGCTGAAGTCATATTCGTTGTTCTCGAACTCGAAACAAGTGCGAAAAATCGACTGATTCAATGTGAGAACTAGTTATGCTTCCAAGATTGTTTGGATCCCGTTCTGCAGGGCAACGACTCACGACAACATGAGTATAAAAATCTTTGATCAACGCTTTTTTAATTTTATTTTTTTTTGCTTTCATGTTGAAGTAATTTGATTTCAAAACATTTCTTCTCTGGTAACTCGGGCAGTGTGGGTTCGAATCCCGGACGGGACTCATCCCCAAAAAGAACGAGAATCTGTTCTTTACTGAGAAAGTGTTATCCCAAATATAACATTTGTTACATTTTATCACTTTCTGAATGGCATTCGTGTGTTCATAAGTATTAGATATACTATAGATTGAACAAAGTGAAGAGAACATGCTCAACTGCGGAACATAAACACTCTTTTCTTTTTGTTGTGTATGTTTGTTATCTAGATTCACGTTAACTTCAGAGGTATTCTTGGGTTTTATACAAGTTTAAAAATAAATCTGTATTAACGTTTCTTCCTCCTGGCAAACACAAACTTCAAGTGCCCATAAACATAAGTCAACGGCACAGTTATGAGACAAGTACGATACCTCATAGTCGTGTATCAACCTACAAACTATGCCAACTTCAAAATTTAACGTCCTTCACAGCCAAACATATATTAGTGGAATAATACTTAAGGACATAAACATGCCACACCTAAGCCAATAAGTGGCTTCTTGAGTTATTGCGCCCTATTTACAGCGCTGAGGAATGTCTGTTGGAATTACCCGGTCTCAACTGGGAACTTAAATAAGATGTTATTTGTTCATGTACATATTGTTGATGTTATGTTTGTTTGTTTATTTGTTTGTTTAAGGCCGCACTCAGCAATATTCCATTTATATGCCAGCGGTCTGTAAATAATCGAGTCTGGACCAGACAATCCAGTGATTGATATCATGAGCATCGAACCACGCAACTGGGATACGATGACATCCATCAACCATGTCAGCGAGCCTGACCACCCGATACCGTTGGTCGCCTATTACAAGCATAGTCACCTTTTACGGCATGGGTTGCTGAAGACCTATTCTACCCCGGATCTTCACGGGTCTGTGGATGTTATGAATTCAGCGTCACATTATCATTGATTTGTGTAGTGTGATCTGGTATTGCAGTGACCATATATTGTTAATGTTTACAAATATTACAGCAGTTCTACGTAGAATTAAAACCTAACATACCAGCATTAGCTCCAATTGCCCATCTTCCCAAGGCAGGGGCGTTAACTGACTATAAAAGTCCAGTTTACACCCTCGCCGAACTGGGGTGGCGCATGTCATGTGTTATGCGCATCTCCGGGAATGTATAAATTGTATGTCGGCACAAACCATCATGTTATACATGATAATGGATCACATGATCAATCTTTGTATTGTGGTCATATTGATCATTTAATAAGCGCCCGTTCATTCAGCAAAATTTAATTCTTCCAACTTTGTTTGTTGATACGTTTAAAGGGATCAGAGAGGCGTACGTGTATAAACAAACAACGATAACGATTATCCAGCCAACTAGTGAGTGATCACACTTTGTCTACGCAGTGAAACGTGATATATTCTAAGGCTACGTGACAAAGGCTACGAACCGACACGTGTTGGTATACATGTACACAATCATGTGCAACCCATATTTTCAGTGTATATGGGGCGGTCGGGTAGCCTAGTGGTTAAACCGTTCGCTTGTCACGCCGAGGCCCCGGGTTCGATTCCCGTGAATACATTGTGATCAAAACAATTCGTGAACAACTATTAAGTATAACAAATGTTATATTTGGGAAAACACTTTCTTAGTCATGTGACACTTTCTTTCACGTGGGTTCATAGCTTTCGGCCATGGGAACCGTGCTAGTTTACACTGGTCAGAGGGGTACACAAAGTAAGTGTTCTAGACTACCATTGTCAGTCTTTCTTTTTTGTGAAAGCCTTGGTGGCTGGACGGGACTCAAACCAAAAAATGTATGAGAATCGGTACTTTAATAAGAAAGGATAATCCCAAATATAACATTTGTTACATTTGATCACTTTCCGAATGACATTCATGTGTTCATAACTATTAAGTATACTATAGCTTGAACAAAGTGAAGAGAACATGCTCAACTGTGGAACATGAACACCCTGTGTCATCACAGTAATTTTCCAGAAATTCGTGAATATGTTTCTTTCTGTTTATATTATCAAGTATCCAGGTGTCTGTAGTTCAACACAGAAATAAACAAAGTTGATTCTAATGTATTTATTTTCTGTTTTGTTGTTTTACATGTTCTCATTCTGATCACGTTCCTGCTTGTGGTGAAAGACTCCGTACAAGAAAGCAGAAGGTTGAAGGGAAATATTTATCTGAAAAGATAACCATAAATGTTTGAAAATTAAGACTTGCATTTATAACTATACAACACAGTTATGGGAACAATTACCTCTTCATATAATGTACTAAATTGATCAATAATTCCATGCAGTCAGCATACTTAATATCATAATCATCATACAGAATTTGCAATGGTAAACATGTTACTACATATTAAGTTTAGATCCTTCTGACATTCACTACAAACCATGGGGTATATTAGGTAGTAAACGACCGTGTTAAGATAAAGATACAATGTCCGGGAACTAATTTAGATTGGCTCCGTCTCTACATGTCGAAAGTTGTTTCAGGGCTCATACGGTTAACAGTCACTGCTATATGTATCTTACTGTGCGGCAGCCCGGTAACATAAGCTTGTCGTGAGAGACGACACGTATGAATCAGTGGCCTGTGTCTGCGACTTGGCTGATTGCGTGTCAGCGTGTCCCGAAGGCGTGGATCGTTGTTCATGCTTTCAGTCGCTGATTTGTGTTGTTTATTTACAGGTCACAGTAATAAAACTTGAACATTTCTGACTACAGCTGCAAAAAATATTCACTTGACTGACAGGCTGTCACTGTGCCCCGATAGTGTGGATCGTTGTTCATGCTTTCGGCCACTGGTTTGCCCATGTATTTTTGCCTGCCGCTGTTATGCAGCTGGGCTATTACTGACTTAGGCCTTAAATGACATTAATCCCCTCACTTAGCTAATCCATTTCTAGCTATATTGATATATATTCCCGTCTTTTCTTATGTAGATAAGTTCATCTTCTGATTATGGAAAAGGTTTTGTCGCTAGTATTTAAGATATTACGTCGCATCAGCATTATTTCAGCCGACATCCAATATATAGAAAAATACAAACATAAATATCAATAATTAAACGTTTATTTTCTGAAGCGTTTCATTTTACAATCCATTTGTCTCTCAGTGTCATTGCAGTTTGCACAAAGAATCCACTTGTTCAGGAAACTGGTTTATCTGAAAACAAATGAACATACATTGTTAGTTATTCTTTACTCCAACAGGGTTTTGTGAACCGTTACATACATAACACTTATGTTTTTAAATTATCAACGCGTTTAGTTACACCTTATTGGTCATGCTAACCTCGTTTATGTTCAGGCAAGTCCCTAGGGACCAGAGAATGAGTTACAGGCGACTAAATTGAATCATCCGTTCAGATTCTGTGAACCGTGCCCCAGCGTGACCATTCTAACCGCATGTATGCCTTAGACAATTACCCATAGGGACCAGAGTTAGAATTGTCCCCATCACCACATTGATGGTCGTCACAGGCGACTC